CTCTTGGAAGTCATTCTGGATTAAAAGTATGACCGAGTTATAATATAATATCATGTCACTGTTGCTCTTTTGTTGAGTTGGCTGGAAAATACACACAAAACAGCTGGTTTTATGATGTTTGATATTGGTAAATTTGGATAGTAAAGTCTTCTTTTCTATCCTATCTATCCTATCCTTCAAATCCCGAGGAAGTCCCAACCGACCCGCGGTTACGTGAACCACCCTACGGTGGCAAGGAGTCCAGTAAACCTTTCACACATAATTTTTCCTCACAAGATTCAATCTTGCGAACCCATGCAGGGTAATCAGAGATGTGGCGACAAGCGTACTTCTAACACTTAGCACGGTGGGCTACATCGACAATCCTAGTTTTCTGACCTAATATCTATTATTCATGCTCCCTTCGCATGACAGAAATAAAGTCGTGTAACATAAGTCATCATCAGCTGGTTGAGCAAAAAAATTTCATATCTCCAGTAAGATATTAAGTAGGAATGTAAAGAATTACCTAACACAGATGCAAGATATTATCTTATCTCCATTTTTATTTGAACTAATTGATACACTATATTTACTTCCAGTTTAAACATACCAGTAACACTGTAAAACATATGATGAGAATTTGCTTGCTTAAAATAATGATAAACTTTCGATGTTGGTTTTTATCGCATCTGTCACAATTTTTAAAGAAAATTCAGATATGTAATCTTATTGTTAGTTAACTTTCATTTCTATGTTTTCAGCTATCCAAGTTTGATATCAGTGAGAACCCAATGGATGAAGAAGGATTCAATGCTCTCGGTTCTTTATTGATAGCAAATAATGAGGTTATTGACCTTGTCATGCAAAATTGCCAACTCACGAAAGAAAAACTGGACGCTCTTGGAAGTCACTCAGGATTAAAGGTTTTGTTATTTATTGCTGCTTGATCTATCATTCAGCATTTCTGCCAAACTAGGTTGCGATGTAGAGAAGATAAAATTGATCTTTTTTCCGCTATTTCACTTTTTATTTATAGTATTTGGAGTGAGAAGCAAATATTTTCATTTTTATTATTTGTTAAGTGTTGTTCATGAAAAAATCTCCGCAAAAACCTAGCAATAACCCAAGCATGTCACACACTCTTTTTGATTGAAAAAAATAGCTTCTTATCGCTGGCTATGTCTTTGACCCGCTGAAGCTCGACGGTGTAACTAATATACTAATAAATTGTATTAGAATTGCTTGCTAATATTTATTGCAAATTTCACAATTTAGTTAGAATTATTATATGAAATCTTGAATATAAACACGGACCTGTGACAAAGTTTGTCATTTTAGATTTATTTTGACGAGAGTCATAGTGTTCCACAGATTGCTGGCATTGATATGAAGTTTTATCTTTTATTTTCATCGATTTTCAAAATTTCCTCCCTATAATCCTATTCGTTTTAATAGATTTGCACTCTGGATATTCGGTCCATAACCGGCATGACATTTGATCTATTTCTCGCAATATCTAAGTTTGCAACTGAGAGTGAGGTCAAAGAACTTCTGATGGACCCATGGAAATGGTTCAGCCCAACTACAGATCAAATAATGGAATTGAGTAAATGGAAAGTCTGTGGAAAGGTCTGTAACATATTCATTGAGACTTGGAGTATGATAACGAAATTATTGCCTAATTCATTAAGTATGTTGTAAACATTTTATTGATAAACCTTGGATCTCACTTTATTGTACAGAGTGTATGTGAATTTAGTGAATGGATATCCAGAGAAGGTCAACCCCGAACCTTTGTTTATTTACATTTTCATATAATATTTCGAATATATTTTAAGTTTAGATTTTCCAGTTTTTTAGAATGTTTTTATTTGATATTCTAGTAAACAGAAGGTTAAAAAATCCTGAATTGAGAGAACATCAGATACTTCGCATAACACCTGGCACCGATTAGGCAAAATATTAAAATGATAATAAATAAATGATAAATTTTCAAAATGAATATTCAATTTATTTATGAATTGAAGGATTAATTTTATTATTTATTTTAGTTGGATGTACTGAAGGTCAGCAACAACAAGGATCTTGGCACTGCTGGTTTTGGTAAAGTTGGAACAGTTGTTTCAAAATGCCAGGTGAAGGAATTGAAGTCTCAGAATTGCAATCTGACAGCAGAAGGAATTAAGGCATTCAAGGAAAACACTCGCAATGCCAAGGTACCAAACAGGTTAACTTACATAAATGGTCATGCATTGGATATAAATCAAGCATGTCTTGATATAACAAACAGTTTATGAGTTGTTTAATGGTTATTCCAGTGCAATGACTTTGGTCACCACAGAGTATTTACTATTTTTAGTAATTTATAACTCCCAAGACAAATTGAATAACAATTTATGAAACTGTGCCGGCCAGCATTTTTGTAATCTACCGTGAGATATCGATTAGATCAGCAATCCTGTTGCACAATCCATCAATGACTCTTTACGACAGCAGTCGGAACCGAGCAGTGTGTGGCTGCTTGAATTCGTTAGGAAAAAAGTTTTATAATGTCAACAGCTTTTTGAACAATTTGTGAGATCTTTTCTGTCCGAATGTCTGATATCACTGCTTTTTTATCTAATGAAATATCATTTTCTGGCCAATTTACTCAGATTAGTCGGTTCGCCAATTTCTTTTTTTACTTAAGTTGGATAGATACACGGATTGTCAGTTCGAATAATGATCTTGGCATTTTGTGAGTTCATTTAGATTGGTTCACTGATCTTATTTATTTCAGTTGAATATACTAGATATCAGTTTGAACAAGAATCTTGGCACTGCTGGTTTTGGTGAAGTTGGATTGGTTGTTTCAAATTGTGAGGTGAAGAAATTGCAGGCTCAGGATTGCAATCTGACAGCAAAAGCAATAAGAGCATTCAAAGAAAACTCTCGTAATGCCAAGGTAAAGATCAGTTTATATACCTGACCATATATCTGCTATAATTTTGATTTTTTGCTGAATTATGCGACATTATTACATGCTTTTCACATGGAACAAAGCTCAGTGTAAGCAGCCATCGATGAGTTTGGCAGATCTAAATATCTTGAGTTCAGCATTGCCCACACAATTTATCAAACCCTGTGGTGGTGGGCATGGGAGTGAAATTTGAAAATTTCATTCTGTGATTCAATGGATATTTTTTCTGAGCTTCGGTACTTTGTTTATTACCGTAACAATGACCAATCACTAATAAGTCAACAATAACGTAACAATTGCAATATATGCAGCCGCTCAAGATGCTCCTTTTGCCCAGATATATATTCAGCATGGTTGTGAATGTTGCCTCATTTTCATGGGTTTGCGTGTTATTTGTCAGTTTTCTGTTGTTCCAAAAAAAGTACTTAAAACTCATTTTCTGGTCGTACTATTTCATTTGCCCATATTTTCTATTCCAAATTTATTATTGAATAATCGCAAAACCAACCATGAAAACAAATTTCACTCAAGTTTGATTCGTCTTTAAATAACCGCTTGCCTAGATTAACACTTTGGCAACTAATCATATTTGTTAGTGTTTAATCGGACATTCACTACAAAATATTTTGATCAAAACAACACGCCTGTTACATAATTTGACTGCCGTTGCATAAGCCATATTATTGTGTATTGTCGGTTTACAGGCGTAAAAGATTGGGAACCGCTGTTTCTGCTTTATCCATGCAATGACAGTCCTGCTTATATATCTGAGTGACTGTTCATACTTATTGGATGCGAAGGTTTTCTGTATTGAAGACAATGCATTCATATTGCCCACTGCATTAACAACTCCATAAATAGATCAACTTAAACGAAATTCCATATGAAAAGTCAAATACACTATCTTTCCTCTATTGTGAGCAAATATTTTTTCAATAGAATTTAACAATATTTTGATATCAGATTTTATTATGAGACATTATCACATGCATTTTGCTAAGAACAAAGCTTTGTGCAAGCAGCCTTTGGTGAGTTTTAAGGGCCGAAATATCTCAGACTCAGCATTGCCCATACAATTCAATACACCCTGACGTGGTGGTGGGCATGGGAGCGGAATCTGAGAGTTTTAAACACTATGATGCAATGGATATGCCATATGTGCACCCGCTCAGACACTTAATTTGATCAGACAAATATTCAGCATAGTTGTGAGCATTGCCTTTCTTATGGTTTTGCACGTTATTTGCAGTTTTCTGTTGTTTCAAAAAAAAAAACTTAAACTCATAGCTCTGGTCGTGATATTTGATTTGCCCATATTTTCTATTCCAAATTTATTCTTGAATGATTGCCAAAGCAACCATGAAAACGAATATCACTCAAGTTTTATTCATCGTGTTTTAATCATAACCGCTGGCCGGAATTAACGCTTTGGCGAATAAACCTATATTTTTTAGTGTTTAATTGTATGTTTGGTTGATCTCAGTCCGCATGGTAATGATTGGTAACCATTGTTCCAGGCTCTATCCATGCAGTGACAGTCCTGCTTATATATCTGAGTGACCGTCGTTTATGTTTGATGCGAAGGTTTTCTGTATTGAAGACAATGCATTGCTATCGCCCACCGCAATAACAACTGTATAAGTCAACTTGAATAAAGTGACCCTTCAAAAAGTCAAATATTGCTTTTTTCTATTTTGTATGTGAATTTTTTTTCAATAGAATTTTACAAAATTGGTCTCTGGTATTCGAACAAGCTTAATTACCAAGAAGACTTTTCTTCATGTAGTATATATGTCTTAATTAACAAAGAAAATTTTAATCAGCTATCAGATTTTGATTGGGTTACATTTCCATCAAAACAACAGACATTTGAATTTTTGATAAATGGTGGTGCATGGGAGCGGAATCTGAGAGTTTTAAACACTATGATGCAATGGATAGGCAATATGTGCACCCGCTCAGACACTTAATTTGTTCAGACAGATATTCAGCATAGTTGTGAGCATTGCCTTGTTTTTATGGTTTTGCACGTTATTTGCAGTTTTCTGTTGTTTCAAAAAAAAACTAAACTCATATCTCTGGTCGTGATATTTGATTTGCCCCTATTTTCTATTCCAAATTTGTTCTTGAATGATCGCCAAAGCAACCATGAAAACGAATATCACTCAAGTTTTAGTCATCGTTTTTAATTAACCGCTTGTCGGGATTAACGCTTTGGCGAATAAACCTATATTTTTTAGTGTTTAATGGCATTTTTGGATGTTCCCAGTCCGCATGGTGATGATTGGTAACCATTGTTCCAGGCTCTATCCATGCAGTGACAGTCTTGCTCATATATCTGAGTGACTGTTCATTTATGTTCGATGTGGAGGTTTCCTGTATTGGAGACAATGCATTGCTATCGCCCACTGCAATAACAACTGTATAAGTCAACTTGAATGAAGTGACCCTTCAAGAAGTCAAATACTGTTTTTTTCTATTTTGTATGTGAATATTTTTTCAATAGAATTTTACAAAATTGGTCTCTGGTATTCCAAAAATACTTTTCCCCATGTAGTATATATATCTTAATTACCTAGGAAAATTTTAATCAGCTATCAGATTTTGTTTGGGTTACATTTCCATCAAAACAACAGACAGTTGAATTTTTGATCAATCAGTTTTTAAAGTTTGCTTTCTTCATTTCTCATACTTTTATTCCCTGTCACGATCACATTTTGTGACCGAGTTCATCTACATTAGTTCACTGATCTTATTTATTTCAGTTGGAAATACTAGATATCAGTTACAACAAGATTCTTGGCACTTCTGGCTTTGGTGAAGTTGGATTAATTGTTTCAAAATGTCAGGTGAAGGAATTCAGGGCTTGGGATTGCAATCTGACAGCAGAAGGAATGAAAGCCTTCAAGGAAAACACTAATAATGCAAAGGTAAAACCAGTTCACATACCTGAACATATATTTGCTATAATTTGGAAATGTCAAGTCAAGTTTATTTTTTCAACCAGTAAAAAATATCACAATCATAAATTACGACGAAAAAAATAATTTATTTACTAGGGAAGAGAAGTCGTGACGAACCAAACTGGTTATCGAGCAGCGACACCCAAATGTTTTGGAGATTGCTGTATTATACGACATTATCACATGCTTTACACTCGTAACAAAACTCTGTACAAGCAGCCTTTGATGAGTTTGTTAAACTGAAATATTTCAGGTACACCATTGCCCACACTATTTAACAAACCATGAGGTGGAGGGCATAGGGATGGAATCTGAAAATTTTAATCTGTGATGTAATGGATATTTTTCCAGAGCTTCGATTTTCTTGTTTATTTCAGGAACAGTGACCAATCACTTAAAGGTCAACAATAACGTAACAATTTTTTCATAAATAAGTTGTTTATTGAATATCTTAAATGTCATTATAACTTCCTACGCGCTCCAATTTATTGCATTAAAAATTATTCCCAGAAAATCAATGATAGACTGGGCATAAATTAGCCAACAACCTGTTTAGAGTCATCCATGCCGCTAACAGGTTGTTAGCTAATTTAATCCCAGTCTATCGTAGATTTTCTCTAAACCAGTTTGTAAGCGCCATATCTCCAAAACAATCCCCAATTATGCATCACAAATTTTGCAATACTAAAGTATATGAACAATTTTTCGGGAACATCTATATCTATACAGTTATGACCAACGCTTATTAAAATAATTTTCTAAATTAAATGAATATTAAATGGAAATTTTAATTATACAAATTCAACTCTGAAATTGTAACATAATATCAGAAATTAACTGTTGAAAAAATAAAATAAAACTGAAAAATAATGGATTTTATCATTTGTATAAAGTTTTTAAGAAAATTATGAATGTGAAAAATAATTAATTGGTCGAGAGATTGAGTCACTAAATTTTCTGGAAGCTCCGCTTCCAGCTAAAATGATAGGCTTGGCTCCAGCTCCTCCAAGACATCACAGCTTCGACCCTTTTTCGCAGTGCTTAGCACAATTGGCAAATCGTTGAACTGAGTGATATCTTAGTAATTGATTTATATTATTTGGGGTAATAGTGAGTGTATAAAGGCTTTTGTTAGAGAAACAGGCAAGAGAAAACAATATAGGAATATTCTTTGCAGTTTCAAAAATTACTTGAGGTCGCGTGAAAATGTTTTTATTTTCTTAGCGGCGCATATTTTTGCCATTTTTCTTCCATTCCCTGATAACACTTCACACTGCTGATTTTGGTTAAGTTGGATAGCTATTTTACAATGTTAGATGAATAAATATTTAATTCAAATAATATCTTGCCGGGATTAAAGTTGTGGCAAATAATCGTATTTGTTGGTGTTTAATCAGACATTCACTACAAAATATTTTGATCGAAACAACACATCTGTTCCATTCATTTCGAAAATTTGACTGGTCCATGAGCCATATTTTTTTGTGTTGCCAATCCGCAGGGGTAAAGGTTGGAAACTAATGTTGTAGGCTCTATCCATGCAGTGACTGTCCTGCTTATATATCTGAGTGACTGTTCATTTTTGTTTTAATGCCGAGGTTTGCTGTTTTGAAGGCAATACATTACTATTGCCAACTGCAATAACAACTGTATATAAAAATTAACATTGAATCAGTAAAAAATATCACAATCAAAAATTATGACAAAAAAAAAATTTTACACAGTTTTACAGGGGAAGGGAAGTCGCAGGAAACCAAACTGGTTATCGAGCAGCGACACCCAAATGTTTTGGACGTTGCTATATTATGCAACATTATTACACGCTTTACGCTCAGAACGAAGCTCTGTGAACGCAACCTTTAATGAGTTTGACAAACCGAAATATTCCAAGTTTCAGCATTGCCCATTCAATTTATCTCACTCTGTAGTGGTGGGCATGGGAGTGGGATCTGAAGCTTCTATTTCCTTTTTTATTTCCGTAACAATGATCAATCACTAATAAGTCAACAATAACGTAACAATTGCAATTTGTGTAGCCGCTCAAGATGCTTTTCCTGCCCAGACATATATTCAGCATGGTTGTGATGTTGCCTCATTTTTATGGGTTTGTGTATTATTCGTCAGTTTTTTGTTGTTCCAAAAAAAAATACCTAAACTCATATCTTTGGTCGTAATATTTCATTTGCCCATATTTCTATTCTAAATTTATTATTGAATGATCGCAGAACCAACCATGAAAACAAATTTCACTCAAGTTTGATTCGTCTTTAAATAACCGCTTGCCGAGATTAACACTTTGGAAACTAATCATATTTGTTAGTGTTTAATCGGACATTCACTACAAAATATTTTGATCAAAACAACACGCCTTTTTCATAATTTCACTGCTGGTGCATAAGCCATATTATTGCATATTGTCGGTTAGCAGGGGTAAAAGATGGGAATCACTGTTCTAGGTTCTATCCATGCAATCACAGTTTTGCTTATATATCTGAGTGACTGTTGATTTTTGTTTGATGCGAAGGTTTTCTGTGTTGAAGGTAGTGCAATGCTATCGCCCATTGAAATAACAACTGTATATATAAGTCAACCTAAACAACATTCCACTTGAAAAGTCAAATACATTATCTTTCCTCTTTTGTGAGCAAATATTTTTCAATGGAATTTAAGAAAATTTGGCTCCTGGTAATTGAAAACACTCAATTATCAAGAAACTTTTTCTCCATGCAGTGTATATGCCCTGAGTAACTTGTAAAATTTCAATCAGCTATCAGATTTTGTTTGGGTTAAATTTCCATCAAAACAACAGACTATTAAATTCTTTATAAAATATTTGTCTATCCTGATCAATCAGTTTTTATGGTTTGCTTTTTTATTTCTCATAATTTTAATCTTTGTCAAGATCACATTTTGTGACCCAGTTCATTTAGATGTCACTGATCTTATTTATTTCAGTTGGATATACTAGATGTCAGTTGGAATGATAATCTCGGCACTTCAGGCTTTGGTGAAGTTGGATTAGTTGTTTCAAAATGTCAGGTGAGGGAATTAGGGGCTCGGGATTGCAATCTGACAGCAGAAGAAATGAAAGCATTCAAGGAAAACACTCGTAATGCAAAGGTAAAACCGGTTCATATACCTGAACAGATGTTGGCTATAATTTAGTAATGTTTTGGACATTGCTGTATTATGCGCCATTATTACATGTTTTTTTTACCCGCAACGAAGCTCTGTGCCAGCAGCCTTTTGATGAGTTTTACGGACCAAAATATCCCATGTTTCAGCATTTCCTACCCATTTTATCACACCCTGAGGTGGTGGGTATGAGATGGGAATTTGGGAATTAAAAAATTGTCATGCAATTGATATTTTCCTGAGCTTCGATTTCTTTGTTTATTTTGTAACAATGAGCAATCACTAATAAGTCAACATTTTTTGTAGCCACTCCGACAATTCTTTCGCTCATACAGATAATCAACAAGGTTGTGAACATTGCCTCGTTTCCGTGGTTTTGGGTGTTATTCAGTTATCAATTGTGTTTGAATTTGTTGATAATCAAATACCTTCAATGTTATTATCAATTCCGACAAGTTTCAGTTCAATTGCAAAAATCAATAATTGTTCCTGAAAAACTTGCAATAAGGCTTGAATTATCTACCTGTGAGCGGCACATGGTTGAATATTTCAAAGAAAAATTATGGCTTGCGTTATGTGAACCAGTTGAGCGCCATCTCTCAAAAACAATCCCAAATTATGCATCGAAAATTTGCAAAAGTAAGATATAAGCAAGAGTCTATGGTTGGGGGAACATCTCAATAGTTAAAGACCAACGCTTAATAAATTGAATTTCTAAATTATTCACAAAAAAATTGGGTTTTCAATTGTACAAATTTAACTCTGAAATTGTAACATAATATTAGAAATTAACTGTTGAAAAATAAATGAATTTCACCATTTGTATGAAGTTTTGAAATTTCATGAATGTGAAAAATAATTAATTGGTTGAGAGCTGGAGCCACTGAAATTTCTGGGAGTTCCGGCTCCAGCTAAGATGATGAGCTTGGCTGCAGCTCCAACAAAACATCACAGCTCCCGACCCTGGTTCATAGCTCTGAGCACAATTAGCAAATAATGGAACTGAGTGATGTACAGGAAACTGATTTATATTCCTGGAGGTAATAGTGAGGGTATAAATTCTTTCACTAAAGAAAAAACTTAGACCGGAATTCAAGAGAGAACAATACAATAATATTCTTGGCAGTTTCACAAATTAATAAGTTGAGGCCACATGAAAAATTTTTAATTTTATATGCCATCTTATGTTATACATAATTTGAGGTTTATGTTTCTTCAGATTTTCCTGTTTTCCGATTCCGAACACTTCACTAATTTTGGTGAAGTTGGATAGCTATTTCACAATGTCAGATGAACGATTTTTCTGCCAAGTCATCTAATCCGACATGGAAGATATACTTATATCTTTGCGTCTATATTTCCTTTCTCTCTGCATTGATTCTCTAATAAAATTAGATCATCTACTCCACAATGTCAGATGGAGCAACTTTTTGCTACGTTTTCTGATTTGCCAGTCAAATTACCCGAAGTATTCAAGGGAAATATCAAAGTAGCAAACCAACCTATATGCGTCCCAACCATGACCTATATGTCAATTCATAAATATTATATGATAACAACATGTATTGTTTCAGATCGATATCTTAAGCCTGAGTTTTAACAAAGTCAACAAACTAGGAGATGAAGGATTATCTACAATCAGTGAAATAGTTCGTAAATGTCAGGTTCAAACATTGGAGATGAAATACTGCAACTTCAACTCTGATCAGTTGGAAAGATTCAAAGCACTGATCGATGATACTGGGGTTGAGTTCCGTCACTAGTCACAGACGCCGTATCCGAGGATGATTTTATTGGAATATTTGATTTAAAATTATATTAGTTCCACATTTCTTCAGTTTGTCTGTCTGAGATAATCACTTTTCGTTTTGTTTCAAAATTTTCGAGCAATTTGTTTTTAAGCAAGGATGGTCCGTGTATCGCATCATGTCTTATGGAAATTACTTTTGATCCTGGATTTTCATTTATTTCATCAAATATTTCAGTCAGAGATAAGGAATAATTAACTAGTTGCGTACAATAAACAATGGAATAACTGTTATCCACAACCTGGCTATTTGACCAGACATTTTTTGCCCACGGATTGCCGTGTTAGACTATTAATGCTTTTATATTTTCGTAAGTATGAAAATACGAATTAAAAATAAATTATCGGGCATTTTACCACTATTTTTATGTCAACAGATGGTCATGTAATTTTAGAGTAGTAAGCTGGCTAATGCTTTTATTTTTAACCATGAGTTATGTTGAAAAGAGCTAAATTAATACGGCAAGGCATTTTAAATGCTGGTATCGGTCATGGATTTGAATATTTTGCCCAACAGAAAATCAACTTAATAAAAAGTTGATACTTTCAAATATTTGCCAAAAAGCGGAAAAAGTATGAATTATATTTTCAATAAATCAACTTGTTTTTTCCGACTTGCGACAATTTTTTGGGTATCGTAACAATTGCAGCTTTACATAATTTTCAAATTTTCGACGTAATGCAAATGAATGCGTAACTAAAACACTGTTGCTGAAGAGGCAACTAGCAAAAATAATAAAATACCATTGGGCGCTAAACATGGAGTAGCAACCGAATGCTGGGTGTACGCTTGACATTATATATTTACCAATGCCTATAAAATACTTTAATAGATGGAACCATTTTTGAACAAAGATGTAACATCTCTTCCTCAAGGCTGGTTTCAAGCCGATTTGGCCGCTTTTATCAAATTGGGCCCCGCACCCTGCGCTAGTCTTTTTCTGTATTATTTATCTGTATTATGAGGTACAAAATACTGCTGAAAATGTAAAATATAAAGTGAAATAATTTTTCTCATAATCTTAATTTGTTATGCATGGTAAATTTATTAAATTATCGTTATATCGCCATTAGCAATTAAAAGACCCAACAGTTTGTCAATGCTTCTTCTAGAAAGCAAAATAGCTGAAGCTGTTGATTTTGAATGAATTTTCTAATAAAATGGCTAGAAAAGTATTTTTATGAAAGAGTATAATGAAATTGCCTATTTTGCATTTCTTGATGTTAAAAGTAAAACAATAAAAACATCCTATCAGCCTAAATTTGTTTTATAGCAAGTATTAAATTTTTTTATTTTTTTTATATAAAGACCCATAAATTCTAATATGAAGAGTAGGGGGTCTGCCATCAGATTTCTAATTGGGCCCCGCAGAACCTAGCACCTGCTCTTTCGTTGTCTACGAGAATTCTTTGTCTTACCGTTATGACTTCAACCCCATATAATTTTGGGAATTATCCAGCACTCAACTATGTGCTATCACACTGCTTTTTTTCAAATGTTTATACAAAATTTATTTTAATAGGTTCACTTTTCTCCCCAATTCGCAACGGAACTTAATTATACGAAAACCTGCAATTGCCAAACTAACTACGGCTTTGCTCTGTCAAGTTACTATATTAGTACAATATACATGCATAGGCTTCTATTGTTCATACCTGCTTGCATTTTTTAAGTACAATTCTGCACTCCAAAGATAAAATTATGCGTGAGAGGATTGCTGGGCTCCTCGCCACCGTAGGGTGGTTCACGTAACCGCTGGTCGGTTACGGCTTCCTCTGCCATAGAGTCCATGCATCTGAAACAAATAACTGGCTAACTAATCCCAACATGGACTGGTAAATAGACTAAAGGCTGTCTGAATAAGCTGTCTCGTCGGCTTCCACCACAGTCCTATCTAATTCTAGGCAAGATTTAGACATAATTAACTGATATGCTGAAACTAAAATTCATTTAGCTTTTGTATCTTTCAATGGTAACATTTTTCAAACTGCTTTTCCATTTCTTAGGTTAAGTTAGGTTAATTGCCCGTTCTTACTAATTTATTGGCATTCGTTCTTCACTTTCCTTAAATCGCTCGCTGCTCGGCAAGTGATAGCTTTGTGAATCGCGATGTTTGATTCACAGAAGCTAGCTGGTAGGGCATTATAACGTCATAAATATAGATAATAAATTGGACTCTGGTATAGTAGGCTTTGCGACGCAAGAAGGATTGGAATTGGTCGCATGTATCAGATTAAAATAGATTTAAAAACCTTGTCCCGTTGTTTCGTGAATCGCCACAACTCCAAAATTGGAATTTTTCCGCGGGCCCCCCCCCCCTATTTTTTCTTGAGGCCCGTGGGCCGCAGCTTGCACACCCCTTCTCTAGTTGATAATATGATATCCTCTGATAACCCAACGCAGGTTCGCTTCCCGTGTAGATAAGATAATGATTTATAAGATAAAGATTGCTGGCAGAGTGGTTCATTTGCCGCTAGTTGATCATGGTTCCCTCTATTATCATGTATGTGTATATAAAACAAGTAACATTCCAAATAATCTCTCACCGTTTTGTCTGATACGGACGAGAGTTGTTGAGACATCTCATCGGTTTCCATCTCTCCTGGGATAAATATGAAAATACTGTCTAATGAGCGAGTCTGATGAAATGCCACCAGAACAAGCGCCATACAAGTCGCAACTTGTATTATTTCGAAAAATTACAATAAATTTAAAAAAAATCGTAATATTCTACGTTAAGCGATAAATTCCGGACACCGAAACACTAGGTCAAGCGATGATGGAGGAAACCTTAACCCAGTGGTCGGCAACTTTTTCCGAGTGACGCACCGGTAAAGCCTGACCAAAGTTTTGGCGGACCACCTTTACACAAACGGACTAAGCCTATGCAATAAATTATACGCATTAGGAAATTTATGTTGACAATATACTAAATACGACGGCGATGCTATTTAGTGCGATATCTGCATTTGTTGGCTTACCTGTTCCCATATTGGAGATATGGCCGAAATTGACACATATAACGTGATTTCTACATCCGGACTACTTCGTTATTTCGTTTTTGTAGTTATCAATATTGAAAACCAGGCCTCACATTAATAAGATTTCGGGAAAGGTAACAATGCCTGTACCCCCTTCTGACTGTGTATTGGTTGATGTTTGTTTTGCCATAAGTAATTTTTTTACCCGATGTGCTAACTTTATAATTATCCGGATTCTGGAGTATAGATTTAGCACTGGCTAAGCATGACCTGTTAGCTACGAGCCAGTAGTGAAGTCGTCACGTTCTTAGCGAAAATTATTTTGTTGGAGTTAACTTATACGGACTGATGAAAGACACTCTTATACGGGCGCAGTGGAAACAACTGACTTAGCATTAATGCGGCATACTGACATGGTAATTGTTTGTGAAGTCAGACATGCTGCTCAAATGCGTTGTGTTTGTCTGGTTTGCTGTTGGGTACTGTTTTTAGTCGTAGGGTTTGTGGTTAGATTGTAGAGGTTTTATTACGGCCTTGTCCGTTTATGTGTCACCTCTCTGCGGACCGGCGATGGGCCGCGGCCCGGTCCTTGCCGACCACTGTTTCAAACCACCATCGGTTACGTGAACCACCCTATGCTGAACTCTTTGCCATCGTGGGGTGGTTCAGGTACCCGCTGGTCTGTTACGGCTTCTTCCGCCATCAAGTCCATACATCGGAAAACAAATAACTGGCTAACTATGGACTGGTAAATGGAATGATAACCGGACAAGAGAGAGTTATATTTATTATTACAAACAATGTCAACATCATGATACATTTGGAGCAACAGAAAATATAATTTAATTTAACAATAATTGGTTGATCATTATTTTGAGGGTCAGTATGCAAGACCGGTTAAGTCGCCGAGGCTCCTGACCTACTGTATTATATACTATATAAGAAATCAATCAGATATAGCAGGGGTGTGCAAACTGCGGCCCGCAAATAAAAATTGTGCGTCCCGCGGAGAAGTGCCAATTTTGAAAGGTGTGCCCGCGAAACGAGTTTTTAGTTTTGTTAATCTGGTGTGTGAGAGCAATTCCAATCTCATTGCGTCGCAAAGCCTATAGTAACGCCTGCGTGCCACTGTCATATTAGCAAAACTAGCTAGCAAAATCCTGTTGAAAAAGACACGTTATAGAAACGTGTTTCACATTCAAATCGTTTAGTCGGTGTGAAAATAAATTTGAAAAGCAGTTTTCAATTTATAAGTTTTAACTCGCCATTTCTGCAAGGACCCCTAACAGTGCTGTAAGATCAATAACGAAAAAAAAACAATTTTTTGTGCTTGCAACTTCGGTAAAAACTTTACCTACGAAATTAATTCGTCCCGGAAGTACCTCCGTAGGTACAAAATTCTATACATAAGTAGGGACGCACACTGCCTGTCAATAACCTATTTCGTTCTAAGCCCCGTAAAAACTGGGACATTATATTTGTTTAAATTATAATAACGGTTAAAACTCGTAACAAATACATGTTAGAATTGATTACTTCATGCTAACTAGAAATGTACACGTGGAAAGAAGGAAGAACAGAGAAATAACGAATAAAAACTACGATATATATATACTTGCGCTGATTATTTGGTTTCTGCGAGACTAACTACTTATCCTTCTTCTGTTTTTGTGCCGGTGGATCCGTATGCATATATTGCAAGGATGCTGTAGCAAGAGTAGAGATAACAATCCTAAGTGATTCAAGAGTCTTGCTGCACACTAACACAAATATATTTCTGTAACGTTTCGCCTGACCAAGGTCAGACTTCTTCAGACATACATAATTCAACTACTGTATGTCTGAAGAAGTCTGACCTTGGTCAGGCGAAACGTTACAGAAATATATTTGTGTTAGTGTGCAGCAAGACTCTTGAATCACTTAGGATATATATATATATGTTTATTTACCTATAGACTGGGGTGAGCAATCTTTTTCGGCTCAAAATCGGCTTAATCGCAATAATAAACATTTTAAACATGTACAGACAGATTCAATAATCGGAAGAATATCATTTCAACAAATGGAATTGATTACTTTTCTTATTCTATATCAGTGAGACTTCTGCTGCGACATTACCGCTGATCGAGAATTTGCATTGGGTTTATACTTTATAACTTCCAGAGAAATACACGATCTACTGCTGGTTTCATCTTCCAGGCTACTCCTATTACGAGACTCAATAAAGTTCATAACTAAGAACCAAGATTCACAGGCATATGTAGATGAAAACATGGAGAGTAACGCAGTTGTAAAGTTTTTGAGACATCAAAAATTTTCAGGAATGGCATCACGCAATAGTTCGTTTTTTGCACTTCTCTCTCGTATTCCCTTTCCTAATCGTTATATTTCTTTCGAAATCAATTTATAACAGTAAGTTGGCAGATAAATCTAGTCAACATGAGCTTTACAACTCCATAAATTAAGCAGAAATGAAGATAAACGGTGGCACAGACGAACTATATTATGTAAGAATGTAGCAAAATCAATGCAGCGCTCTTCTCCAAAGCTGACATTTGTTCTGTCATAATGTATTTCCTTTGTAGACATGGGCCTACGTCATGAAAAGACAAAATGAGTTTAATTTAACGAATTGTTAACAAACCATAATAAATAAACGAACACCGAGTTTCATCAGATAACTCAGAGTCTTGAAACTTTTTATCTGAAGGAAAATGATCTCGTTCCCAAGGCCTCGCTCGCGTGCCGAATAAATGGGCTTGCGTGCCAAGATTGGCACGCGTGCCAGGGGTTGCCCATCCATGGACTAGACCAGGGGTTCACAAACTTTTTTGGCCGCGGGCCAAAATTAGAATCGAAAGGGTGTTCGCGGGCCGGAAGAGTGTAGTGCCCGAAAGTGTGCAACGGTTTAGCTGGGGTTCTGTGGATTCACATTTGACATTTTTTTAAACATGTTTGTTTGAGTCATAATGGTGCTTTATGTCGTATTGTTTTATAACTTGAATAGTTCGTCGGCAAAGTGGACAAATTGCTGAAGTGTGATTCTTTTTTCAATACAGAAATATGAATGATGTCATTTATCGGAGTAACATCTGTTTTCAGAGTCTTGTATATTATTTGACATCTCTAACCTTTCTTAAACGGCTGATAACTAAATTACTGCCCTATGTAATCCTAATACGGTACGTATAATTGAGATACCGGCATAATCGAATTGTTACCATGAACACGAGCTTAAACTGTGATAATGGATAACAATTGGCGGTTTCTAGATTGTGAAAAGGTAGAAACAAAATCTATTTCATTGTTTCACTTAAGCTCGGCGGGCCATTTTAAATCGTTACGCGGGCCGGAGTTGGCCCGCGGGCCGCGGTTTGGGAACCCCTGGACTAGACGAAGACTGCGGAGAGTGGGAGGCCGGCGATCTGAGGAAGTGATAGCAGGCGGCAGAACGTAATGTACGAAATTGAGCAAACACACATGATATTTGAAAACATTTATTATTGTATCATCGTCTATTCACTGAATTTCGATAGCAAGACATTGTATGTACCCGCGGGAAAAAACTGGCCAATGGGCGCGGCTGCCTTCGAATACGATGAAAAAAAATGAAATAAACTTAAATTGTTTTTAACGGCGGCGCTAGTATATTTGCGAAGAACGATATTCGAAGGTCGCGATATTCTGAATTGGTCACCCCTTCTTCAATCACTGCATTAAATCAACCTAAAATAAACGAATATCACTACACACATTTTTTAAGTTTTTGGTTTTTAGTTAGGCTTTCCGTGTGTAGAAAATTTTACGTTGGCCGACGCAATATTTTTACGAGAAAAATTTTCGTAAGTTGGATTTTCCGTATTCATAGCCTTTCGTAGATAGAGTTTCTTAGTGCGGCCCGTGGCTTCACCCAGTTGTATCTGCCCTCCCCGTGTAATAAAGGTTACACACCCCTCAGATATAGCATCGGCATAAACGTGAGAGGCCGTGGTTCGCTATATTATTAATTCATCTTATCAGCTTGCTTCTCTCCTGGGATAAATATGTGAATCCCATCCTGAGTACCGGTAAATAAAATGTCAAATATTATTACAGCGCTCCCAAATTCGCAGTAAACACAAACGTCCATCGGAGGGCGTGTTCTCGCACTACGCTGGTTAGGAACGGAGACCGATTTTCTGAGATTTTTAATCTGCAATATACCGGTCAGCCGGTACCGTTTCTCAAAAGCGAAGTTGATTTCAATTGAGATAAATATGTCGCCGGATGAGAACAGAAGGGGTCTAAGTCACATTTTTTAACATTTCACTTTTTCCAATATTTACAATCAATAATAAAAATTTTAGCTGGACTTACTGACTTAGGTCCTTAATATTTTCTAGAAGTTAGAAACAGAATGGGCCAAAGTCCTTTTTGGGGGGGAAAAAAACATAAAAAAAATATTGATTACAAAGATATTCTCATCCACACATAACCAGAGATCAGGTCTTTACTAAGTGTAAATATCTAGATATTCAAAAAAAGAAATTCAAAATGGTTTTTTGCGTTTTGCTCAAAACTCAAAATTGTGACTTAAACTTGCCTGTTCTGTTCTCATCCGGCGATGTGTTGTCTTGACTATAATGATTGTTAGGCAGTTATTGGTACGTAACAGATTGTGTGTGAATTGTTTCAACTCGCACAGTTTGCCAAATAATAGTCGTGTTTCAGAGACAAATAATGTCTTCGATTTATTGAACTATATTTTGGGACATTTTGAAATCAAGAGAACTGTGTCCTACTAGGTTCCATATTTCAATCATCAGATAATGTTAACAGGTTAAAATAGACTTCTATTACTGTATTATGAAATAATGCCTCAATTTAAAAGCAATGCGGTAGCGTACCACACAGATGCTGATAGCAGACACAACTTTTGGTATCGTGGAATTCTTATTGGGTTTCTTTTGCTGACTTGAACTTCTCCAAGATTTGCATCAACCAATTTTCTACAATATTTCATTCCCTTGGATATTGCTTGGACCCCGGCATACGTGCTTTCGAATGAATTCTCTCTTCATTTAAAAATGGCGACAATTTTTTACGAATGCATGAGTGGAATATTCAGTTCCTCATGTTATTTTGTGATCTATGGATTTTTGGTTTACGTCACAATTCCGCTGATTTTCAAGATTTACCCAAAAATCGTCTTTGAAGGATTATTTCTCAACAGAGTCTGCCCACCTGTATGGTTACTGAAGCTGAACAAACCAGACAAAGTAAGACTTTCTACAAGACGTTTGTATGAGTGAGTGCTTCTGAATGAGTGCCCATAACTTTGCTCAGAGATGAGTCTCCTTATCTGAGTGTGTGCGAGTAACTCTGCTCAGAGAAGCGTCTCCTTTACTTTTGAGTGAGTACCCGTAACTTTGCTCAGAGATGAGTCTCTTTCACTTATGAGTGCCTGTAACAATGCTCAGAGATGAGTCTCCTTTGCTTCTGAGTGAGTGCGTGTAACTTTTCTCAGAGATGAGTCTCTTTTACTTCTGAGTGAGTGCCCGTAACATTGCTCAGAGATGAGTCTCCTTAGCTTCTGAGTGAGTGCCTGTAACATTGCTCAGAGATGAGTCTCCTTTGCTTCTGAGTGAGTGCGTGTAACTTTGCTCAGAGATGAGTATTCTTTACTTTTGAGTGATTGCCCGTAACTTTGCTCAGATATTAGTCTCTTTTACTTCTGAGTAAGTGACCTTAATAACTCCGATCAGTAATATGTCCTTTCACTTATGAGTAAATGCACTGAACCTTGCTTCAACCAGATCCCCTTATTATAGTGATCAATTCCTAACTCTAAATTCTCTTCTTTTACTTCAGGCCTACAATCTTAAAGAGAGCAAGAACTGCTATGTGAGGTCTTCGAGTGGAAGTACTTTAGGCGTTTGGCATATTCCGCCAGTCACTCAGTACGATACTCCAGAGGTCAAATCAGGGTCATTACAAGACGCTGAGAAAATCATCATTTATTGCCATGGCAACTCGTTTCATCGTGGTTTCAAGCATCGAAGAGATTTATATTCAGAGCTGCAGAAATCAGGTATGAATAATATGGTCGAATTCTTTTTGTCAAACTCAAATGTACTCGGAGCCGCAACATTTACTCTAATGTCAGTGGCTATTAAAACTACCGGAAAACCACTTATGATGCAATAATTCAGTTTCTGACAAAATAAAAATAACTTGAAATTAAAAAGAAAAAGTTTGTTTTGACAGATTTGAATCACTTTGATGCGACCTATTGTTCCGCTCACGACTTATATCTGTTGTCATGTGTAATTAGTGAGTAGTAATAGACTTTATGTCTCCGACTTTCATTGAATCCCCACGGCTTCTAACAAAAAACGGCTGTTGCCACTTTGATTCATGGGAGCCAGAGCTCCGAAAACAGAGAGTCGCATGCTGCTGATCGCTGGTCTACCCTGACTAATTGTGAGACAGCGTTGGTAAATTAGTTGAGCTAGAATATTGCATCATAAGTGGTTTTTCGATAGTTCTAATAGTATCTGACATTAGAGTACATGTTGCGGCTCGAGTAGGTTTGAGTTTGGCATAAATGTTACATTTTATGAACAATATATACAGTGTTACAAAAGTGAAAAACAATAAGCCTTGTGCCAAAACTACATTTAATCCCAATCTCAACAAATTCCTATTTTTCACTAGAACATCAAAATTTGGTTTTATTTCAGTTGTGGCAGCATCAGGCGAGCCAGATTGAATAACCCAATGGGCCAGATTTGGCTTGCGTAGTTTGCCCATGTCAGGTGTAGACGATGCCATATGGCTCTTTTGATGCCAAATGTTGCCGAATCGTGGCCTAGGCCAGGGCTACTCAGCTATTTGTTTAAAATTATTTGGGTCCGGTCTTTACAGAAATTGTGTTTCGGCATCCTTAAACGCACACTTCCTCGGTCGGCTAATGATTATTAGCAAATCAAGATTGTTTATTATGATGTAAGGTATTTTCATATATATTCGAAACTATAAAATTCATTTTATAAAAGAAAACTTCAAAAGTGGGGCTAATGATCCAAAATAAAGAATTAGGTGCGGTCCGAATCAAATACTCGAAAAGTCCGGATTCGGACCGCGGTCCGCCAGTTGAGTAGCCCTGGCCTAGACATGTCAGTGGACATAACGATCGCTTCAATATCATGTTGTTGTTTTTCGTCATCATTATCATTAAAAAATCGTTTTTTTCTTCGAATACTGGACCAGTTGCTTTGAAATTTTCAGTGGTTAATAAAGATTGATATTTTTACCAGAAGGCTATTACGGTACTTTTATTTATTCCTAAATTTTCTATGGATCTTATGAGATCTAATATTTCATCCAAAATTGTGCTGTATTACTTTTTAATTATGGGAACACGGTTTTTGATCCGCCAAGCGTGACGGCTGACTGTGAAAATTCTTGCGACTGAAAACTCGGAAGTATTTTGAGGTTACGGTATCAATAACGTCAAAGGTAAGGACTGCCTCGCTCTGGTCCACGTGTCCATATATTTGAGCGTTGCTCTCCTGTTGCATCAATCTGCTCATTCACACAAATAAAATCTTTTTCATTTTCACCAAGGATTCCACATCATATTTGCGGACTCTACCGGTCAGCCGAGTCCAACAAGAGTCGTGGAAGATGCAATTAGCGTGTATAAGTGGACGGTCAAGCAGGTTGGATTATGTTTTATCATATTTGTCACTGCTTAATCATATGGCGAATATCAGCAAAGCAGAGGTACACCATATATAAATTGTATATAAGCACAGTTTAAACTAAAAAAAAAAAGTTCCCAAACTAAAGGGTTGGCTTATATGCGCCTCACTCTAATCACACTAAATTTCGGCTTTATAAGCGCATAACCCTGATCGTGCGGGGGTCAACTAATACATTCATAACACAGTTGCCTGTCAATAGGGAATTCCCCTTTGTTATTCCCCTGATTACCAAGTTATAAAAATCGAATCAGTAATTGTCAAATTTCTGACACTTAATATATTTAATCACTCAGCTCCAGAAAGAAGATGTGACAATCGTGCTTTGGGGTCATTCACTCGGCACTTACATCAGCACGAGGGCGCTATCGCTCATGTACGACAGGAAAGATGGCACTCGACTCCCAGACTGTCTGATACTTGAAGCTCCGTTCACGAATACATATGATGCTGCAGACTGCTTCCCACTATCTAAGGTGAAATTTATATTTTGTTTCATTTCAGTACTCCCGTAGCATGTGAACCAAGATGGCGGACATCTGAACGAAGTATGTGTACCAGGTTAGGTTTAGGCAATGATTTCAGGTACAAATACTACAAAGTCACTTGGCTAGTCCCCGAACTCGTAATAGAACTAAAATAAGGAAAATTGGAATAAAATTATGGACTAACCCTAACCTGGTACACATACTACGTTCTGGTGTCCGACATCTTGGTACACATACTACGGGAGTATGCTCATTTCAATGATGTGATATAGTATTATATGATGCTTATTAACGCTTTTTTCACGTGCAAGGCCAGGCACCAGTAGCAACAGATACTCGTATCTAACGATATGCAAGTATATACTATCTTTTGGAAGGGCTGAAATCTTTCCAGTTTGGTCCTTGTTAACAGAATTCTGTTAATTTTTGCGAACACTTATTAACTAGTTGCTGATCACTCTTTGGGGACCTCTGTACTATGCCATTGTGGTAGTGCGCCATGACTTTTGAATTGAATAACATCTAAAAATTGTATTTATTACATCTCTCTTCCAGTATTTCTATCTGCTCTATCCCTTCATGAGGTCTCAGGTTCACAAGAATATCAAACAATATGACGTAGAGCTCAGGACTGAGAAGTATCTGCCGACAATAAAGGCTCCTGTTATGATCCTACACGCTAAAGATGATCAGAGGTATGTAGGCAGAAATAATTGAAAGGTATGGCTTGCCAGTTGGTGTATCGTTCTAACCGAATTAACACGCTTACGTGGCGCCCTTCAAGAGTTCACAGGTTCAAAACATGTTATTTTTGAGAATATGGCTTGCGGAACTGTTTACTGTCGTAAGGTGGTTCATGTAACCTCTATCATCAAGTTATGTCTCGTAAATTCATCATCATCTAACATTTACAATATTTACCGGTACGGTCTTACAGTATGGTATTTAATATAAGTTTATTTTAACTCCTCAGCATAACAAGCGCTATATTACCCTAATTTTCAGATTGATAAAAACAAAATAAATAACCGATTAGCTTCGTGCATCAAGTTCATGCATTGGAAAACAAATAACTGGCTAAACAATCCCATAACCGACAAGGACTGGTAATCGGACGAGAGGCCGTGGTTCGCTATATGATTAAGCTGTCCTAGCGGCTTTCTCTCCCCCGGGATAAATATGTAAATCCTACCCTCCACTCTCTATTGATATCTCATCAGAATTTTCCCTGCTTAAAGCAAGCCAGGTTGTGTAAAAAGGTACTCCCGTAGTATGTGTACCAGGTTAGGGCATAATTTCGTTCTGATTTTCTTACTATAGTTCTATCACGTGTTCGGGGACTGTTTGTGTTAGCCAAGTAAATATATCCCCTGCTCATAGGTTTCAGTCCCTTTACACAACTTGATGTCAAGTAGATGAACAAAATTAGTTACCTCCATTTTGGTACACATACTTCTGGAGCGCTTCCCAAAGACACACTTATTCATGTCTTAGCTAGCATGGTCAACTTCGTTACACGTCTCTCAAATCAAGTCAAACGATTTCCAATGACTCTGGCTTTGATTACAAGAAAACTGGTTGCCCTTCGACACATTTCTGGAGGGCCCTGTAAAAGCAATATGTTCATAGTGTTGATGCAACATTAATGCAAAGTCTAGGTGGTAGGCCCTATTAGCTTCGCTTCCTAATCGATTCGGATTCGCTTTCTTTTGAAATAAAAAAATCCAATTCTCAAACCAAAGTATTCCATTCCTTACAGAATCGACATTCATCTTGGTGAGTCTCTGTACGAAAATACGACCTCTGACCCCATGACAAAATCTCCTCACATTCGTTTCATTCGAATGCACGAGGATTACGGAGTGAAACACTACACTGCTAAGCACCCTGAGATAAGGCAGTTAGTGCATGATTTCAAGGCTGAGGTAGCAAAGGTCAAAGGTGATCAGGAACAAGGAAGTAAAAATAGATTTGAATTGATCGATATTCAATTTTTCTTTTTTTGCTGTTTAATTAGGCATTGAATATAATTGCTTTGGTCGAGTAGCAAAGATTAAAGGTTATCAGGAACAAAACTGATTAAAGATTTAATTTTTTTATTATTAACCTTTATTATGTTAAGGAGACAAATAGAGCTAAATTAAACTTGCATTCCTGGAATTTAGGTAAACTCCCAGCATTGATTTCTTCTGAAGAAATCTAATTATCAAATTTCTGACGCTTTATTTAATTTTCCAGCTCCAGAAAGAAGATGTGACAATCGTGCTCTGGGGTCATTCACTCGACACGTACATCAGCACAAGGGCCCTATCGCTCATGTACGACCAGAAAGATGGCACTCGACTCCCCGACTGTCTGATACTTAAAGCTCCGTTCACGAATACATACGATGCCGCGGACTGCTTTCCATTGTCTAAGGTGAGATTTTTGTTTCATTCAGGTACTCCCGTAGTATGTGAACCAAGATGGCGAACATCTGAACGTATTATGTGTACAAGGTTAGGGTTAGGCAATAAATTCAGATATATATATTACGGGAATCACTTGGCTAGTCTTCGAACTCCGAAACCGAAAGGAAAATTGGAATAAAATTATGGCATAACCCTAACCATGTATACATACTACGTTTTGGTGTCCGCCATCTTGGTTCACATACTGGGGGAGTACCTTAATTTCTATGATGTGATATAGTATTATACGATGCTTATTAACGCTTTTTCTTACTGTACAATGCCCGGCATCAGTATCAACTGATATCTAACGATATGTAAGGATATACTATATATTAGAAAGGCTAAAATCTTTCCAGTTCGGCACTTGCTACTTAACAGAATTCTGTTAATTTTTGCGGCACGCTTAGCAACTAGTCGCTGATCACTCATTGGGAACCTATGTACTATGTTATTGTGGTAGTGCGCCAAGACTCTGGAATTGAATAACATTCAAAAAATTGTATTTATTACATCTCTCTTTCAGTATTTCTATCTGCTCTATCCCTTCATGAGGTCTCAAGTTCACAAGAATATCAAACAATATGACGATGAGCTCAGGACTGAGAAGTATCTGCCGACAATAAAGGCTCCTGTTATGATTTTACATGCTAAAGATGATCAGAGGTTTGTAGGCAAGAATATTTGAAAATTATGGCTTGTCAGTTGGTGTATTGTCCTAAGCGTAAGTAACACGCTTACGTGGAGCCCTTCACAGGTTCAAAACATGTTATTTTTGAGAATATGGCTTGCGGAACTGTTTGCTGTCATAAGGTGGTCCACGTATCTTTCGTCATCAAGTTCATGTCTCTGAATTCCACCATCTAACATTTACAATATTTACCGGTACGGTATTACAGTACGATAATTATTATAAGTTTCAACTCCTCAACATAACCACTATCATATTTGACAGATTGATAAAAAACAAATGAATAACCGATTAGCAGCATGTCTAAGCATCTGGAAACAAATAACTGGCTAACTATACTCATACCCGACATGGACTGGTAATCGTGGTTCATCATATGATTAATAAGCTGTCTTAGCGGCTTTCCTCCCTCGAGATAAATATGTAAATCCCATCCTCCGCTTTCTATTGATATCTCTTCAGAATTTCTCATGCTTAAAGCAAGCCAGGGTCTGTAAAATGATACTCTTGTATTGTTATAGGTTAGGCCATAATTTTATACCAATTTTTCTTTTTTTAGTTCTATTTCGAGTTCAGAAACTGTTTGTGGTAGCCAAGTCAATATAACTCCCTGCTCATACGTTTGAGTCCCCTTACACAACTTGATGTAGAGTATGTGAAATTAGTTACCTCTGTTTGGTACACACACTGCTGGAGTGTCCTGTAAAAGCTATATTTGCATGGTGTTGATGCAACATGAATGCAAAATCTAGTTGAAAGGCTTCATTAGCTTCGTTTTCTGATCGAATTTGATTTCTTTTTAAATAGGAAATTCAATTCTCAAACCTAAATACTTTATTCTTTACAGAATAGACATTCATCTAGGTGAGACTTTGTACAAGAAGACGACCTCTGACCCCACGACAAAATCTCATTACATTCGCTTCATTCGAATGCACGAGGATTACAGAGTGAAGCACTATACTGCTAAGTATCCTGAGATAAGGCAGTTAGTGCGTGATTTCATGGTTGAAGTAGCAAAGGTCAAAGGTGATCAGGAACATGGAAGTAAAAATAGATTTGAATTGAACGATATTTAATTTTCATTTTTGGTTTTTTAATTAGGCAATGAATATAATTGCTTCGGTCAAGAAGCAAAGATCAAAGGTTATCAGGAACTAGGAAGTAGAACTGATTGAAAATTTAATTTGTTTTATCCTCCATTTATTATGTTAATAAGACTATTAGAGGCAAATTGAACTTGCATTCCTGGAATTTAGGTAAACTCCCAGCATTGATTTCTTCTGAATCACTTAGAATAGGGGTGAGCAAACTGTGGCCCACGGGCCAGTTACGGCTAACCGAAGTGTTTCAGTCAGCCTGTAATGCTATATATTTGTGAATGGACTGTTTCTTATTCATAGTTTTGAGCCTTCGGCCCAGTAACCAAGTATTATCTGTAACAGGCCCACTCAGAAAAGTAATTTCCTACCCCTTACTTAGAATATCATTTTATATTGGTCCATCTCAAGTAACCTAATTATTCATAGACTTTTTTTGGTACTCCCAAAGTCTGTGAACCAAGATGGTCGACACCGGAACGTAGTATGTGTATCAGGTTAGGGTTGGGCCATATATCAAGTACAAATACTACGGGAGTCACTTGCTAGTCCCTGGACTCGTAATAGAACTAAAATAAGGAAAATTGGAATAAAATTATGGCCTAACCCTTACCTAGTACACGTACTACGTTCCGGTGTCCGCCATCTTGGTTCACATACTTCGGGAGTACCCTATTTTCCTGTGAAGTTACAAAGGACAACTACTGTTAACGCCCAGCATTATTACCGTTCATTCAACTCTTCCCAAACTTCAAGCTGTGTTTTTAGAAATCTTTTAGGCTTATTTCTATAATTGAAAGTATTCCAACATAACTTATTAATTGATTGTAGTTTATATTTTCATTCTTAACTGTGTATTTATTACTCAAGATGCCAATGATCAGAATTAGCAAGTCACAAATATGCTCGAAATAGAGTCGAATCACTCAACCAAAGTAGAAAGAGTTCTGATAGAAGAGTTGCAAGTTTGCTCAAATCAAAGTCCCAAACTCTCAACTTTAAAGCAGAAATAGCACTGATAAAAGAGTCCCTGTCACAAATATATCTGTAGATAGCGGTTCATGTGTAACTTGAAACAATATATCGCAGTACTATCAGAAAATATATATTGCCATATTTCAATTACTGCCTTGTTGCCACATTTTGATATTCTTTTCCTAATATTGGGTCAAATTTTTTGGGTTACGTGAATTATTCCAACTCTTCACCCCATAACGACAAAAATTTGAGAACTTTTGGTTAAACATATGCTCTTTGTGCGACAGAGGTCATTTGTAACTCTTTTATCAGCACCTTGCTTCGAGCATACTTGTATAGAATTACTAAAATCATCTATTTTCATGGTCTAATATGAAGTATCATTCACAGTTATGCTATACTAAACTTTCCAGAAAAACAATTATTCGTGTCTTAGCGAGCATGGTAAACTTCGTTACACGATTCTCAATGACTCTGGCTTTGATCACGAGGAACCTCGTTGACTTGGATGCTAAGTGTTATTAAATTTTTTTTAGTTTTGAGTGAGTGCCTCACATTTGCTCAGAGAGGATTTCCCTTTACTTCTGAGTGAGTGCCCTTAACTTTGGTCAGAGATGAGTCTTCATTGTAGTTGACGTATATAACCATCCTTGAGCAAATTCACCTGATAAATGATAGGCTATGCTTTCACGTACTATTGAGCAAATTTATTTTGATTTTTATCGTAAGATATATAATCCCCTATGCACTGTATATGTTTAAATATGCAATTGTTTTATCATAATTGTTGATTTGATTTCAATATTTTTATAACAATTCTACCTCAATGCATTTAATCCACTGAGACAAATGAACTTTGCATTACATTGCAGTATTATTTTCTGAGCTACTGATCTTATCCACCAAAAAAAAAAAACTCAAGGGTGTTTTTGAAAGACTAACTTCGGAGCTAGGTTTCAGGGATGCCCGAAATGAATCGAATACATTCGTTATTCGTTGTATTCGATTTAATAAATTCTTGATTTTTAGAAATAATTTAGAATATTTCACTTGTAAATATCTTCTTCAGCATGCATTATTTTATGACGAACATAACTCACAGAAAAAAATAGTTAACTTCTGAAAGAATATAATGGAGAATACTTATTAAATCAATGTTCATCTCAGTTACTATGCATAACCAAATTTGAATTATATGAATTAACATTTGCCTCAAAGAATTTGTCCTGTGAAACAGACCCATTTCATTATTGGTGGTAATCGAAGTCAAAGTACTTGTCAACTCTGTTGAGTTGACAATTTAAGGAGGGCGTCCGTGTTGAGGGACAAGAACCTTCAATGTATAAACTACAAAAACCAAGGATGGATGAACATAAAAATATGCAAAGAAGTTGTTGGCTCAGAAAACTAAGTATGAAATTGAAGCAGGGTTTCTATGCTTATGTGGGGCGTGTAGATGTAACGCTGTAGATATATTGAAGATGAGTATTCTAGGCAAGTGGTCGGCAACCTTTTTTAAGTGACGAACCGGTAAAGCCTGGCGGACCCTCTTTATACAGACGAACTAAGCTTATGTAATAAATTACATGAGTAGAAATTTTCTAAAACATAGGTGATGATATTCAATGCGAGATTTGCGTTTGTTTGCTGGTCATTCATTAACTGTTCCGAATTCGGAGACATGGTGGACAGTGATACACGTACCGGTTTCTTACGTTCAGCCTACTTTAGTTGTCAATATTGAAAAACCGACCGCACATTGGGAAAAAGAGTATCGCAAGGATACTTTTCAACTCGTTATCATTTGAAATTTCAATCAAGTGCTCTATATAAGACAATCTCATAGTTCAAAGAAGTTTCGAAGGCTTCCTTTAAGAGCTCAGTATGGCAAACTGGACAAATTTCATTGCTGTGACTTATGGCTATAAATCCATGTTTAAAATACGGATTCTTCGCGGTATATGACCCGCTATATCTACACTCCCAGTTACGTTAGATATTGGCACGCAGTCATTCAAACATTGCATTATTGATGTTTGTTAAGCCATACCTGATTTTATCACGAGATGTGCTAACTTTATGATCATAAAGTATAGATTTAGCAAAGTCTAAATAGCGAGTTGGGTGCTGTTTTGCCTATAACACAAGTGGGGATGGCTATACTAAATTATTCACCTATGTCATTGCTAGCATGATTATCCCGTGCTCTTGTCACATATATTTAAGCTACTAATTACCCATTAACAAAAGGATGAGATGTTTACACTTGTCGCAAGGGAGAAAAGGCGGCTTAATCATGTAGCGTACCACAGCTTCTCGTCTGGATGCATGTCCACTGTGTGCACATTGGTATGTCGGAAAAAAAAAGTCCTGGTTCTTATTAAAAAAATGCCGCATTGTCAAATGTCGCCGACACTTCGCAGAATCCCTTATCATGACCCCGACAGTAGGAATCTTTCTGCTCTTCTCCTAGGTATGCCAAAGAGAAATTTCATTCAATATTGCTAACTGAATACTATTGTAATTTTGTTCAATATGACAAAATCTACTCTAGATTTACGGTAACCCGCACAGGAAAGCATACTAGTCATAGAGTCTAATAACATTGAACAATCAGGGGAGACTTCAAGTATATTATACTTGGGTGTGGAATTTAACCAATAATACACTAACTCTGTCAACCATAGTTTACAAAAATAATAAATGAATGTGAAATAATGTGTCGCTCGGCCAGAAGAGCCGCAGCTAATTTGTTCCATAAATGAAGTCGACTTGTAACCGAACGAGAGGCCATGGTTTGTTATAAGATTAAGGGATAAATATGTAAAACCATGAACTCCAGGGTAATCAAACCTCTGTGAAAGTGAACAACAAAAATTTGGGCATATGCAGGC